ATCATGCATGCAGATATCTCGGTAGAATCTCCTCGACATGCATGTCTGATGTACGCGTATCTATATACAGTCGTCTAACGATCTATCGATGGACTATCTTGACAGATGCACCGCTAGATCGATATTCAGTATAAGCTACCCATCGATCTATCGATCTATCTCTCTACATCGCGACCTATCGACATGGTGTAGCTGGATCTAGCTATGGATTATATATTATATATATATATATGCAGTTAACTACTACAGCTTCTCTCGTGTCTTACCTAGATCCATGCATATTATTTTTTTAAATATTATACAAACATAGGCCATGTGCATTCTGCATGACGTCTCATGCCACGTGTCATGGCAACCCTGCATGAATGCTTGCATGCACGTGCTTGCAGGCCAGTGTCCCACTGATATTGGTTCGCTGCAGACCAAGGTGTGACACGATTGGCTGCCAGCTCTGAACCATGAACGGAGTTTTCCGAGCTCCTCGGCCTTCGTCACCAAGGAACATGACAGGCACTGTGCGAGCCAGTGAAGCAGAGTCCTTGTCCAGGAAGATCGGATGGCTCGGCTCGCAGCAACGAAACTTCCGCCAGAAAACCCCAAACGTATCCTTAGCCACCACTGCTCCAAGAGAGCGTTCGCCTGCAAAGATAAATTGGGGGCAGTCTTGCACCAGTGCCGTCAGCCAATTCCTCATAGAAAGAACTGGCCAGTGCACCGTCAAGGTGCGGATCCGTGGCTTGTAGACCCGTATTGAAACTTTGATGGAGTCCAAGTCAACCCGGAATGACACACCATGCTTGACGATACAGTACTGCAGGTTCCGGTTCGCGTTGTGCTTTGACCTCGATGCCCGAGCCATGGCCTGCAGGAGGTCTTCCTTTCCTAGGCCATGCATGCAGAAGCAAGCCCTGGTGTTCAGGCCATGCATGCAGCTAGCAGCAATGAAGTTCTCATGTCAACATGCGCTCGTGCGTGCACATGTGTCCCTTGCGTGGCCAAGGATCGGTGCCGCCGCTTGCTGCAAATCATCGATGCCACACGGGAGGCTTTGGCAGCCGTTTGGTTCTTAGATATATATATATATA